AGAAGCTTAAAGACAAAAGATCCCCAGACTTCAGTCGTTTGGAAACTGAAATCGAATTCTTTAAGAAAAGGTTTTCCAACTAAATTGTGAAAACATTTCTAAAAAGTAATCCATTATCGAAATGATTGTTTTGAGTTTTGATCAAAGCAGCTTTTAAAATCTGTTTGAAAGCTTAAAGTGACTTGTACTTTGCTTTCTTGTGAAACATTTGTATTAAAGAATAAGAAATAAATTGTATTTAAACCATATAGAAAAAATAATGTTTGGTAAAATGAAGCATAAGAAATTCTTAATTTTTTTGCTTTGCCCTCAAAAATAAGTACTTTGATGATTCAGAAAATTTTTTTTCATTTTTGTATAATTTAAAACATTAATATCATAAATACATTCATGAGTTTCATATGATTCACAACATGAGTTGAATTGCTTTTATCAACAATTTTGAGTATACTTTACTAACATATTCGATATATATTGAGTAAATATTTATAACAAAGCAGTATTTATTTTGCGTGAAATTTATGTCCTTACACTTTTAACAGATTGAATTTTTTTTACAAATTTAATATTACATGATTTTTTAAAAAATTATTTGTACTTCTACAGGATACTTGTAAAATTTTCGGGAAAACATACCACAAAATAAAATATTTTATAGATTATCTTCTAATTTTTCTTTAAAAAGAGTTGAAATTCATTATTGGTTTTTTTATACGCATAGCTTTGATTTATGAAAAGAATTATTATCATAAAAATGTTTATTAAATATTTCACAACATTAAAATTAAAAATAATGTTACAATTGCAATGCACTTTATCAACATAATACCTAAAGGTTTTTTCGTAAATATTTATCATATGTTTAAAAGGTTTAAAATCCAAAATGGTACTTTTAAATGTTTTTCATTAATTATTAGTCAGTATTGTCGGTTAGCGTCTGCTAGAAACCACAATAAAACATTTTCCAAGAAATAAAAAAATATATATCCTTAAGTCAAAGGAAGCACGGTAAAGCGAAAATTTACACTCAAGAGAAACACTATATCCATATGAGAAAAATAATATTCAAAAATAATCAAAACGTGCTACTAAATTGAGTAAAGAGTGGTTCAATATAAGTCTGTGGAACATAAGTGAATAAATAACAACAGTACAAAAGCAATAACAAAATAAATAATTTCAGTTAAAAAAATTGCAAGAAATTTGCTAAAAAAATACACATTGAATTAAATTTTTCATAGCGAGGATTTTAGTTCATTACTATTAAATCTTTAAAGCTTACTAATTATCACCTATAAAAAGAAGGACATCAACCCCCAGAGCAAATATCCACAAAAAATAACTATAAAAACGTTCCTTTTGTGGAAGTAGTTGTTCCTTTTAAACTATTTTACCCATTTATACAATATAGGTAGACCTTTGATATATGTACCATCAAATATTGTATTTTTGCAGCAGAAAAAATATATAGACGTGAAGGAATTTCTGAAATATATTACTTTCATCATCTAAAACACCAGTTCGTGAGGTATTCTGGAGTACCAGAACTATTTTTTCCAAAAACGACATATTTTCAAAGCATTTTTTATTATTTCTTTTTTTTCCAAAACGAACAGCGGAAAGTCAATTCGTTCAATGTGACACTCTGTTATAAGTAAGGTATGCTGTAGTTACATAGAAAAATGATAGTACTTCTACGTATTTTGAAAATTCATTTATTATATTCTTTCACAAATTACATTTTTTTTACTAAATTCAGCTTGAGTTGAAATAAAGAGATTCCCCAAAATGGAGAGCAAACTCTTGTTGCAAGGATTTAATTTTAAAAATGTTCATGAATGAGAATAATGAATATAATTTAGTTTAAGTTTTTCTACAGATAAACAATTCGAATGTGAATTAAGTTTTACTTTTGCATTCAAAATCATTTTTATGCTATTTGTTTATGGAAAAACCTTTGAAACTTCAAAATAAATTAGTAAACATAGTAAAATTAGCTAACTAAGCTACATGGTCTCAAATCACATTGTTCAAAATTTAAAAAGGAAAGAAAAGAAATAAGGCAGATGAACAAAATTCAATCCCTGCTCTTCACCATTGAGAAGTGGTATAATAATGTCTACTCATCTTTTTATTCAAAGATTACACCTAGATTTTGTCTGCCCATCACATTTTTCTGGCAGTCCATTTAAAATCTTTATGTGGGGGTAATAGTATAAGTAATGTAATTTTTAAGAATTTGAGGAGCGCATTTTCTTGCCAACTGTGAAGTAAGTTTCTGAAGGATTCGCACAAAAATACTTCTGGAAACGAAATTAACAACTTTTCAGCAAAATATGTTAGCGATTCACCACTCGAGTAAAACACTGAAGTTCACCGAGCTTTATTCTGTTCAAAAAAAAAGTTTAAACGACAGAACTAAATTATTCACTTTTTGTTTACTCCTGGCACCGTGGGAAAACACCTTGAGTCACTTCCTTATATTCCATTGTGACGAGAAGACCCAGACTGCAAGATCTTCCTTCTTTAATGGCCACCTGATGAACCTTTTCATTGCCGACTCAAGATTTATCCGACGTGTCTAAAGTGCCAGACATATACTAGACTTACACAGTTCACGTCCTTGAGTGTCTGTGGCTATCCTGTAGAGACTTATTCACTAATCCTCTTCTGACACGTAACATCCTGTGCGTGAACGGACAGTCTAGTAGAGACTAGACATGGAGATAAACAACAACAACAAACCGAATTGAAAGAATTGTTTTGAAAATTCAATTTAAAATAAAATGTACACCAAATTTCAGAATCTTTAAAGTTTTTTTTTTCTTCAGACATAAAATACATTTAAAGTCCGAACCCATCTCTTAACCTCTGTATTTCAAACGATTAACTCATATTTTAGGTACGAAGGTCCTGTCTGAGTAGGAAAATTAAAATACTGAAGCACCGTGAAGCTTTGTACAGTTTTTTTTTTTTTGTCTTAGCTTCTATACAAAATGATTTTTTTTGTAAATATTACTATCCAATATGATATTCAAGCTCATAAATATATTTAAAATATACAAGGACAAGAATATTTCTGCCCCATCTGTTGCTGAAAAATTTGATTAGGTGCATGACTATATGCAAAAGAACATTCATCTTTTTCATTATGCTACGAAACGCATTTTCTTTGCAATTATTTTACCAGATTCGGAGATTTTTATTTGAAGTGTAGTTATTTATTTTTCTCTCGTGAAGATATAATGATTAATTCGAAAACATTGATCGCAATTATTTTTTCTCTTTTTTTTCAGACTTCAATGCATGTCCTTGTAAGTCTATACAGCTGCAGTATATTTATCACAGAGAATACTTAATACCTTTTTAAAATAGAACTGAATATCTTATCATACCTAATGGAATAATATATTATAGGCAGTGCAAAATTATACAAGGTATTTATATTGACTGAATATGTGTAGCCAAAAACCCAGTGTTTCTAATGATTGATTCTTTATTGATGTTGCACTTTGAAGCTACAAAAAGGATTATTGGCGGTGGACCTTGCAATTTTGAGTCTCGATCAAGTTGCTAAAATAATATTTGAGTTGGCATCCTATTCTCCAAACTTCTACACCATACTAAAGTGGGGACGTTGGGTTTCGTCAGAATTAACATTCACCAGTATTTTGAATGTGAATATCAGAAACAATATAATGTTTGAATATTTAATTCTTGTAAATATTATCTGCGAAAAAATGCAGCACATTTATGTATCTCACAGAATGTATATTTGTAAAAAAAGTGTTATATAATTTATTTTATTGCCCTTATATAAATAAGCACCATGAATAGGAAAATCAGAGAAAACAGTCCAGTACACGCGTGTCAATTAACTATATATTTCTTCTAATAATTAACTTAGCAGCGTAGTTATATATACAAAATAATAAACGAAGTTAGTGCCCCATTTCCTTGGGGCCAATATCTGATTGGTTCCAGACACTCATCAACTCCCACTTAATTGGTCACGTAAGAAGGAAAAGAAGGTCCATTACGAAGAAGTATCAGACTAAGGTGAATCTGCTGAAACGTAGTGGATACAAAAGGCGTAAAATTGAAATGAAATGTTTTGTTGATGACAGAAACTAATTGATTGACTCGTTGTGCTAGCTTGCGTTTTAGTTTTTAAGATTCTTACTAATTAAATTACATGTATTCCCTCTAAGAATATATTCAACGAGAGAAAAAATATATATTCTTATTTTTTTATGTACGTGAATTTACTTTAATTTTAAAGTAAGAATATAAAAGTAATTTTTTAAAAATTTCAAAAGCTCTCTGAATACGTGCTACGGAGACATGGTAATATTTACCATAAAAATATTTGATTTTATGGTGTTCATAAAATTTTTTATTACTCCCATACATATGTATTTTGTAAAACACAGTTTTTGAGCTCAAAAATGCTCAATTAGCTAACAATTAAATGTTTTAAAGAAAAATTTTAAAATTCCTGAAGGGAATTTAAAATACGACTCCTCCTACAATAATTGACGCACACTCACTGAATTTGATTCAAAAGTACGTTGAACAATGTATAAAAAATGTTGGTATCAGTTTTGGAATTTCATAATGGATATATTTGTAAATGTCTTTTACTTTGAATGTCTGTGGAAAATTTCTTAAAAGTTCTTCTGTTTGTGTATTAAGTGTTATTAAACAAGTAATATAAAAAAAATTAAGCCAATTCCTACTTATGTCAACAAAGAAAAGTTTTAATTTAGTTACATTTTGTCAAAAAGTTACAATTAATATAAATATGTATATACATATGACAGAATCACAATATTAAGTGACAAAATAGATAGCTAGTTTCCTTGCATTTTCCATTTTCTTTTCTATATATGATGTTGGATTGTTTTTTTTTTGTTTGTTACTATTTATTCATGAATTAAATTTAATTATTCTAATAAAATGGTATAGTAAAAATGAAATCACATTTGCAGAACGTAGGTCATTCCAGGTGGAATTCGGACCCACAACCTTTGGATTAGAATTCCAACTCACTATCAATTGTGCTACAGAGACACAACAAACGATTTTCCTTTCTATATATACCGTTAGACTATTATTTTTTGTTACTATTTATTCATTTTTAATTTAATTAATGAATTAATATTTGAAAAAACTGTATTAACATCAAGTGCTATAATGTGCTCTACATGTCTTAAAAATTTTATTTGATCTTAAATGGATGAATAAAAAGTATTTTATCAACAATAAAAAAAATATCTCTAAAATAAGTAAGTCCTTCTCAAACACTGTCTAAGGTCATTTTATTGCATTCCAAAGCCTTCGGAATAATTTTACTGATAGGAGAGCTAATGAAATAATCGTATTTTGGAAAGACGTATATATACGTCTAGGGCACTTAACACATCGGTTGAACGAGACGGATATATACGCCTTTGGCTGTTCAGTGGCTAATAGCAATAGTTAGGAAAATATCAAAGCATTTGGCACAACAAAAAAAGCCTTAGCATTTGAAATCAAAAACCACTAGTAATTTTTTTCTTCCTGAGATAAATCAGTTAAAATTTTTTAAATGTCATTGGGACGTGAATATAAAAGCGACCATAAATGTTATCATAAATGGATTTTTTTTAACTTAGAGCTTCCAACTTTGTGCTACGATAGACAAACATAAAAAGAATAATTTAGACTAAAACCTCTTTATTTGATTTTTTGACTGACTTTTGTCAAATGTACGGTATTCTCTGAAAAAAAGAAAAATAACATATTATTTTTCTCTCGTGATATTGCTTACTATTTTGAATTTACTAACGAAACCACAACAAAACACTTCACTTTCCAAGAAAGAAATTCAAGAACGATTAAAAACACGCACTTGAGTTTATCTACGAATAACGCTATTCCCTGAGGGACATAATTAAGTACTTAAGAATATGCCACGATTTGTCAAAAAGATAAATTGTTCTGGATGCTTTATCTTGCGAGAAGTATAAAATTGTTGATTTCGAACGTTCCTGACTACAAAATTAATCATCCGATACCAAAGCTCAGAGGAATTCCTCGAAGGTTAGAATAAGTTATTTACTTTTTCTAAGCTGGAGAGGAAGCAACTTCGAATACTAAAATGCGTACAGTAGACTAAAATAAATCTCAGTGTTGAATATTACAAAGAGAAAATGGTACATTTAATGTGAAATTGTGAATTTAAACATGATATATCGTTCAGGGATGATACCTTCGTGATATATCGTCCCAAATAAGACGATGCACTTTTAATGAGTTAGAATTCTAAGCAAAATAATTAAAGTTATTTAAGTTTGTAATGTGCTAGAGTTAATTTGTTGTAAACACCTAAACATTCACTTTCTAACTAATGAATAATTATACAGAGCTATGTAACCAAACATGTGTCTTAAAGAATGGTTAAAGAAATTCATGAGCTGTATATTTGATAAGAATTTTCCAAGCATTTTATAAATACACTTTTCTGAGAAATGCTATACCGATTATACTTTGAAAATATCAATGATTATTTAGAATAAATATCACAATTAAAATAAACAACTACAAAATTTTAAAAGAACTATTTTCTTACCAGATACAGAATATATATATATATATATATATAATCAAAATTTCTCTACAAGAGAGAGATGAATAAGCACGATTAAAACTGAAAAGAATTGAAATTGCTAGATAACCAGACAACACAATTTAAAAGGAAATATTAAATATTAAAATAAGAGAGTTAAATATCAAACTATAAAAGAATGGATGCTACAGTATATATATATATATATATATATATATATATATATATATATACCACATTGAGAGGGTAATGCATGTGCATGTTTCTATATTCAGAAATATTGTTATTAATTAACACAACGCAATAAATTTCTAGTTTCAAATAAGTCAGAAAAAATTAAAAACTATAAACATTTTCCTAAATACTGTTTAATTCAAAAATACCCAATTAATTTTACTAATAGATATTAGAATAACGAAATTCTAAATACACTGGTGTCCAAAAGTTAAGCATAAATCGTAAAATGCGAAAACATGGAGTAAATATTCGTAAAATTATTCCAAATTTCTTGCGGATATTAATTGGGTGAAGAAGAAACATTGGGCTTATGCAAAAGTTTTCAGTCGACTACGTCCTGCGCGAAACACCGACGCATGTCGGAACACGGAGAGACCGATTCACGCAGCATAGGCAGTTCAGACAAGTTCCGTGCAACTGCTGTGCGAACGAACGTTGTTAATCATCAAATAAGATGAATGATGGCACAAAGACGCCAATTGGGCATGTTTACGAAAGGAAGAGTCGTTAGAATCCTGGAATCCTCACGATAACAAACCGAAGTGTCTCGAATTCTGAATGTGGACCAGTCTGTGATCTCAAGACTGTGGCAGAGGTTTCAAAGAACGGGAGATGTTACCCGACAACCAGTATCAGGTCAACCAAGAGTCACAACCCCTCGTCAAGACCGATATCTGGTAATAAGTGCGTGACGTCAGAGGGGCAGTACTGCCAGACCACTGGATTCGGCGCTCACAGTCGCCACAGGAATACTAATTTCGAGACAAACTGTTTACAGGAGACTCAATCATGCTGGCCTGTATGCCAGAAGACCAGAAGTTTGCATTCCCCTCACATCTGCGCATAAACGCGCTCGTTTGAACTGGAGTTTGAAACATCAACATTGGAGTGTGGGCGATTGTGATGTTCAGTCACGAGTCCCGGTTTAGTCTGAGTAGTGATTCTCGGCGAGTAACGATATGGAGAGAACATGGAACACGTTTTGAACCAAGAAACATAACGGAAAGACATCATTTTCCATCAAGGGGGTAATGGTATGGGCAGGCAACATGATGGACGATCGCAATGACCTCCATTTCTTTGACACGGGGTCTGTGACTGCTCAAAGAAACATAAACGAAGTTCTTGAGCCTTATGTTCGCTTGTTTCGAGGAGCTGTTGGTCCTGACTTCATATTCATGAATGATAATGCGCCATGTCACTGAGCGGTGCTGATTGATGACTGCCTTGAAACGGAAAACATCCAGCGCATGTCGTGGAATGTGAACTCCCCTGATTTAAATCCTATCAAGCATGTATGGGATATGCTCGGGAGATAAACTGAAGCCCTTTCGCACCCACCAAGCTCCGTTACAGAACTGAAGAGAGCTCTCCAAGAAGCTTGGAACCGTTTGAGCCCACAACTCATTCATCATCTCATAGCAAGTATGGTAAATCAGTGTACAGCGTGCCTGGTTTTCAGAGGTGACCAAACGCCTTATTAAACTGCAGCATCAGTATTTTATTAAATGTTTTCTTTCATTTTTTCTTTAAAGTGTGAATCCTTGCTATGCTCAATTTTTTTTCAAACTGCTACTTTGGATAATAAAATTAATTATTACCATTCTTTTGATGTGCTTCCTTATTTTATAACCATTTTACATTCGCATATCACGTTTCCCGCCATTCCGATTTACAGTTTCTTCTTTATGCACATAATTATCAATTATGCTTAACTTTTGGACACCAGTGTAGTAAGGATTAAATTTCCATAGTATATTAACAGGTTATTATTAAAATTTTATTATTATTCCTAGATAGATATAGGTACCTCCAAATTATAATTTTAGGTAATATTACTTCTTCTATTAGATTTTTCTTTAGTTTATTATTTTTTTAAATAATGTAATCTTTGTGTCCCTAAGACAATGGTGGTATGTTTACAATTCTTAATCTATTATTTCTATTCTTTTCATACTTTTGCTAAGTGCTACTTTTCAGCCATTGCTATGCTTTGAATTTGTATTTGGGTCCAGAATCTAGCAATAACTTGTTTATTGTACTCAAATTTAGCGTGGGGCTCTGTATTTTTGAATGCAATTTTTATGTAAGTTACCTTTTTCTCATAATGGATTTAGATTTTCTATCCATTACTTTCAATAGGTTTTTGCTCAGTATTATTTACAGAAAGGGGGAAGGTTGGCTAGTCACAAAACATGTTCAACCCCACTTTAATATAAATTATTTTATATATAAGTTATCCTAAGTCAGCAATGTTTATAATACTGTAGCATCCATGATTATATATTTTTTATATTTAACTCTTTATTTTAATTTTTCATATTTCCATTTAAAATCTATAGTCTGGTTATCCTGCAATTTCAATTCTTTTTAGTTTGATCATGTTTAGTCATCTCTCTCTAGTAGAGAATTTTGATTTTCATCCCTTCAGTGGGTCGATAAAAGAGTACCAAACTTGCTTGGGGACTAAACACTGGGGATTTCGCTTCAGAATGACCACTTGATCCGGACAGCTGCTCATGCTCCTCAGCACTCAGTGGTCACGTATGCTGAGATGGGAACAGTAGGCCTGGGCCCTCATGGGCAGTTGCGCTACTGAGTTTCAGTTGCATATATGAATATATATATATATATATATATATATATAATCTATTTTATTTCCTTTAAGATGTACAATATTCTCATCGCTTTGAAGATTAACGGGAAAATATAAATTAGTCGTTTTATTTAAAAATAAAACACATATATTTTCCATAAATATTCTTAAGATGTGGTAAGATCCATTGTCTTTTCAAATTTTAGTTGATGACACATATACAAGATATATAACGCATGTGGTTTGAAAAAATACATTTTTAAAAATAATTTTTATCTAAGATGCATTCCAAATTCAAAAAATAAGAAAATTTTTACAGGAGCGTATTTGAATTCAGAATATATTACATATTTTGAAGCAGTTTTAAGAATTCTATTTGAGTTACTTGAAAAATGCATTTCAAATAAATTAAATGCGAATATTTTAGCTTTATTTATATATTCATAACATCAAATAAATATGAAAATATCAGACTTTTGCTCCAGGAACAATTACGAAAACTAATACTTATAGAGTTGCAACAAAACAATATAAATATTATACTATTCTTTACTTTTCCATTGCAAATTATTAGTTTCATAACGATTTGAAGAATGTCTTTCAATCAAACTTTTCAGCAGGTGCATTTAA